TCCGTGGGTCAGCCGACCCAGCTCCTCACAAGGCACAGCCTCCAACTAACCAGCTTTCTCATTCCTTGGGCCAGGAGACCACAGCTCTGTGTCTCACCCCAGTGTCTAGTTCTCTATGACCTTCGGTGCCAGCGCTGCTGCTGTCACCTCCCACTGTCACCTTCCACTGTCTTTATATCACTCCACCGCCCTCCAGTGCCACAGCTCTCCCTTGATAGTTCACACACAGATCTTAGGTTCAAAGGACAAGCTGCACATTCTGGTTCTTCCTTCTTGATGATAGTGGGATGCTCGCTTTCTGCCTTTGGGGCTGCTTAATTTAAGCTTGATAAGACAGGGAAACTAGCCATCCCCATGTTAGTGTTTTACGCACCTTAGCTGTATAGTCAGTAAGGACTCAGTCATGTGGTGAAAGTAATAAGGACGATGACTTGGAAAAGTCCCATCAAATAAAGTCACTGAAACACACCGACACACACAGGGCACCATGGAACCCCTGTGTGTTGCACCAACTGGTCTTCTCATTACAAGTCCAGCACTTTAAAAGAAAAACTTTTCATTTTAAGAGTGCAGAAACTCAGTACAAAATTGCCTAGAAACACACACAACACACACATCTCCAATGAATTGTTAGTAAAACAAGGGATTAAATACTATTCATTCAGGATGATTATGAGGGTGAGAAATCGGATGAGCGTGATGGGAGTTCTCATGGTTTAGTCTGTAGGGAGTTGCATGATTAAACCCAAAGGTCATACCTCCCTAGAGGTTCAAATCCACCAGCAGCTTCACTGGAGAAAAGATGGACCATCTCCTCTTTCCACGCACTGTAACAGGCTCAGAAACCCACGGCAGGGTCATCTCTGAGTCAGGTTTGCCCCAGTGGCAATGCGTTACGAAAGAAGAGCACAAAATCCACACATCAGAAACACGCACGGACTGTTCGCTGTGGGTCAAGTTCTACAATAAACACTTCCTGATTCATCTCCGCAATAATCACATGAGACGGGTATTCACCCGGTCCTGATGTCAGATGAGGAGGCCAAGGTGCTGCGTGGTTCAGAACCTCGGGGCATCAACGGGAACCAGGGCAGCCTAGCGTCACAGCACGGCCCCCAGCTATGATGCCATCTGCTCCCACAAAGCAGCAGGGTGCTATCACTCCAACAGGTATCGCGCTGTCTGCATGTTCAAAATGAGCAGCTCAGACTTAATCTGCAAAACAGACAGCATCTCTGGGCTGAGATGTGGGTGTTTTGTTTCACTCTAAACTGCCTTTACTGCTTTGCTAAAGAACGGACTTTTGTGTTTTCACAGTAGGCTTTTGTGTTCTGTTTCCTTAAGCACCACAGAGCCTCATAGAAAGAGAACGCTATTGTTGGGCGTGTGATCATGTCATCTTCTGTCAATAACAACTACAAGCCGCTGAGAAGCCCCAGGACTGCACCCTTTGCTGTTTCCGAGACACTCTGAAAGGGAAGGTTACCCAGCAGAGGGCTTGTCCTTTATACCTCATCTCCAGGGGTTCTGGGGCTGAAATGGAGTGGGAGCCCCTTGCATTGGGGTATCAAGGGGAGCCAGGAGTGACTTGGAAGAGGTGAGGAAGCTGTTCCTTGTCCTCTATCCTGGCAGCACAGAGCAGGCACACTCACTGAACTGAGGTCTTCTGGGCCTCGAGTGTGTTTCCTCAATGTCAACAAGCCTCATATATACAACCTAGACGGCCAGCACAAACCAACAAAAATAAAGCAAACATACCTGCCCTTGACTTCAACCTAACCCACAGCCAGCCTCCAACAGGAAGACACTGCCTCCCTTCTTTCCCCAAGAGCAGCTGGCAGGTTCAAAGCACCAACTTTCTAGTGTGTACCCCAACACCTTAGGCACTGCCAACCGGAGATACGTCCTGGACAGACAAGCTCTTCTTTCTCTACTAGGTGAGAAGTGAGTGAGGGCAGGAAGATGGAGTAAAAGTTAAATTACCCTCCACGTCTCATGACTCCTTGCCTCCTATCTGTGCGGTCAAGTAAACCAGGATACTACTGTCCCCAGAAAGTTCCCCCAAATTTGCAGCTGCTTCAGAAAAACAGGCCCTCCACGCCTGCACCATGCCCTGTTTCTCACCACTTGAGCTCCAGCCATCTCTTACTGTCTGTCTGTCTGCTTATCTGTCTGTCACCCACAAACCCCATTGACTACCAAGTACTGAGGGACAGATGTGGGCGTGATGACATTTTTCTTCAGAGGCATGGATGTGTCCCTCCCAGAAATAAAACTGGGGAAATGTCTCCAGAAAATGGTCTGAGAAAGAAAAAGAAAAACAACTCAAACAAAAACAGCCTAAACCCCTGGCGTCTGCATCACTCGGATGTGATCAGAGACGCGGCCTTAAACCAGAACGCACAAGCAGGCCGGCACCTTCCTCAAAGGCAGACCCACAGACTTGACCTGCCTCCACTCCTGAGAATGGCTGGCAAAACAAATACCATTTACCTGAGAAGCAGGATGCCGGGTGCTATACTGCTGGCCTCTGTCCCCATATGTGACATTCCTGTTTTCAGAGCCACTGGCTTTCAAACAGAGAAATGAGATAAAAACCAGGAATTGAGTGGACAGGAGCCTCTAGGTGGAACAAGAATGCAAGAGCAGAGCTCCCGACAGGTCAGCCACCTAAAGGCATCTCAAAACTTGTGAGATCAAGTAACATCCAGTCAGAACCGACTCCTAGCTGGCCCTCCAGCGGGCTTTCAGAGGCCGGAATGGCAGGGACGTAGACTGCCCATTGCTCTCCCACGGCGCAAATAGAGGGTTCAAACCACAAACCTTTGGGTTGGCAGCCCAGTTCCTCATCACTAACGAACATCATCTGGCACGCAGTTCTCCGCTGTAACACACGGGGGCGCTATAATTTGCTAGCAACTGGTTGGGTATTTTCGTTTTGGTATTTTGTCTGGTTTTGTTTCACTATTTTAAAATTTTTATTTTCTTTTTTCGGTCCAAGTACTGAAGAGCAAGTCTCACCCACGTATATAACCCATAAACCAAAAACTAACCAAATCCACCAAGGTCAAGAGTATTAAGACTCAAGGTAATCCTCCACTGAGTTTCTGAGGCTGTAAATTTTTTGTTTTCTTTTAATTGTGGTTTGAGTGAATGTTTAAGGAGCAAACTGGTTTCCCATTCAGCCTTTCCTAAACAGGTTGTACAAATCCTTAACAGGAACAGCACGCCTCATCTTCCCCCCTGGAGTGCCTGGCGGGCAGCCCAACACACAGCACCTGACAGCACTGGGGCTGTTTATAACTCAAATCTAAAAAGAAAATAGAGACGCTCGAAAGACAAGGAGTTGAATAACAATAAACCAGAGGTAGTGTGTGGTTTGTTTGCTTGGGGTTTTTTCTCCCTTTCTTCCAATCTTCATGGTCCCTCCAGTTAAAGTGTCTGCGGTAGGCACAAAGACCCCTTCGACACCTGACTGAAACTGTGCACTCCCTTTGAACCAAGGGTATGAGCCTCGGTTCTGAGCCCTGAGAGGCAGCGAAAGCCAGGACCGCTGCTGCCAGGACCGCTGCTGCCAGGACCGCGGCCTTCTTACTGTTTTTACACTAATAATTAATAGGAGCCTGCCATTATAGTGACTGCATAGAGTTTTCTTTTTTTTCTATAAACTTACTTTAGTTTTCCTGAATAATCCTTCTTTTTAAAAAAGGGGGGGAGGGGAGGCCAGGTACAGTCCAGTAAATAAATGACTGAAATTTGGAAAACAGCAACCCCCAATCCTCCGTACCCCATGGATCCCTCTGGAATGGGCACACTGGGACATCTATAAATATCCTGCTCATCTGAATTCAAGGCTGGGCGGTGCCACGATAAATGACCTCCTTCCATCATACAAAGTGACAACAGCCAATGTCATCATAACATCCATTATCTAGTCATTTCCCTTTCTCCCCTGAATCAGAGAGCACTAGTTGTTCCTCAGACTCCATTCTTCCTTCTTTAGCAATGGAAACCCCTGACTTCTCTCCTTCCTCCAATCTGAGCACATGCACGGGGGTCGATGCTGGGCAGAGATGTCTGAAGGGTGAGTGAGCACCAGCAGGAAGGGTTCCTCACACCTGTGGTTTCCTTTTTTGTAGACTACAGACCAAAGATGAATCTATGCCTTTGAAATACGGTGCAGGCGAAGAGTATGGAATGTCCCATGGACTGGCAAAGGGACAAACAAATCTGCCTTGAAGGAAATGCAATCAGAACACTCCGTAGAGGCAGGCATGGTGAACCTTCACCTCACTGACTTTGGGCCTATTGTCAGGAGGAATCAGTCCTCGCAGAAAGACATCATGCTGGGAAAAATGACGAGTTAGCGAAAGATGACATCTCAGATGGTCCGGCACAGAGACTGCCACAGTGGATGGACGTGCGCCTGACAGAGATTATGAGGACGACACAGGACAAGGCCCAGATCCGCTGTCCACAGGGGGCTATGCGTCATGTTGGACTTGATGGTCTCTACCAACAACATCGGCGTCACCTGATTTAGGTTCTTGGAAACAGTTTGAACCTAATTATTAACAACCTTTATTCATCTTTTAGCAACACATACATCTTTACTTACCCAAAAAAGACTCTCCTTGCCCCAGTCATATGACGTCAAACAGTGCTCCTACCACTGAACGTCTCTGCAAGAGGCAAACTCAACAACCTTGAGCTGCTCTTCCAACTATGGGCTGCTCCAGCCCCATCGATGGCACATATCATTTAGAACACACGCATGCCCAGGCATCGCATGTTAACATACAGTTTAATGGGCCCTGCAGCCACACACCATATGTTACATTAAACACACACTTCAAGTCCACAGACAGACACACACACACACTACCCAATCCCCACCCATTACTCTGTCCCACTCTCCATGGCCATGTGGGACAAGCACTCAGGTGGTTCAGGCCCCAAAGTCGGTCCAGTGTTGGCGGAGGGACTCAGGAGGTACTTACTAATCGTCATTGACTCTGGCATCGAGGTGGAAGGCAGCAGGCTGCTCAGAGGACTGCCCTGGCTGGGGGGACTGGCCTCCACCCTGCAGGGAAAAGGCAGACGGAGGTTACTCTCAGCCACCAACAGCGCACATCCTCACCATTCCAGAGACTGGGAGGGGACAGGCTAGTCAGCGGCATCTCCTAGAAAGAACGAAGGCAGGCACTACAAACTAGGTTTACAAAGAATTTGCAACATGGGGGGGAGACAAAAAAATTAGTGTTTAATTAACATCTTTTGTAAAAGCAGCACATACACACACACCCCTCCCCCAGGAGGAAAAGCAGCAAACATTAGACATGTCATGGAGCTGAGGATTCAAGAATGATTTTCCATTGCCTGTTGCAAATTTTCTAAAACAAACCCAAGAAGACTCCGAGTCTGGGATGTGTCGGGTGATAAGGGTATAAGCCTCCCACAAGTGGTATCACTGTGGAAGGTCAAGGCTACCAGGACACACATGGTTTAGGGTACCTGGTATCTCCAACTGGAACTCAAGACAATACACACTAGTAAACCTAAGGACACATATTAACTCGTGAAAGGAAGGAGGACAAAAAGGAAGAGTAAAAGGAGAATCCTGGAAACACTGAAGCCTTTCTTTGTTCTGTTACCAAATAGCTAATTATTTGGGGCAACTCAGTTCCCCTCTGAGATACTTTTGTAAGAGCAGAAAAGACAAGCCTGCTCACTATACAGAAAACAAAATGACCCATTACTGTCAATTCCATTCTGACTCTCAGGGACCCACCACCATGTTGTGACTCTTTATGTGGGAAGACTGCCCATGTTTGTCCTGGAGAAACCGCCAGGTGGACCTGAAACCACTGACCATTCCATTAGCTGCCTGACACGTAAAGCACTACGTGACCAGAACTCCTTTTACTCACTGTCCGTACCACGTCTGGTATGCCAGACAGTGTATTAAGCGCTTCACAAATGTCCACATGGTTTATGAAACAAGAACTCATTTAACCCTCTTAGCAACTGTAGTAGGGAGCTGGGGTGGCCTAAGATAAGAAGCTGTGCTGCAATACTAAAGGCACATGGTTCAAATCCATCAGCTTCTCTGTGGGATAAGAATGAGCAATCTCTTCCCATGTGATTACCTGCCTCTGAAAAACCTGCTGGAGGGTCAGCTAGGGGTCTGTTCTGACTTGATGGCAACAACAATAGCAACACCACCACTACTACTACTACTACTACTACTACTACTACTACTACTACTACTACTACTACTCCTCCTCCTCCTCAACCTTATCTTCCTAGTGGACCTCTCTAGAGTGTTGAAGAGCAACAATGTCAGTCTAGATACAAAGGTGCACCTAATCCAGGCCACGGTCTTCTCAATTATTTGCTATGCTTCAGAGAAGTTAAGACAATAACTAAGAATGACAGAATAGATGCCTTCAAGTTGTGGTGCTGGAGAAGAGTCTTGAACATACCATGGACTGCCAAGAAAATAAGTAGGTCTGTTTTGGAGAGGGCTTTCCTGGCAGGCTAGGACTTTGAAGCTCAGCCTCACTTACTTTTTAGGTACATGGCCAAGAGAAATTGGTCCTTAGAGAAAGACATCATGCTCGGAAGGGTAGAGAGACAGCACAGGGGAGGGAGACCCTGGATGAGATGGATTGATACAGTAACTGGGGCAATGGGGGTTGGTGTGTCAGAATTAGTGAGACTGGCTCAGGACAGGAAAGGGTTCAGAGCTGCTGTACACAGAGTCACTATATATCACAGGTGACTAAATGGCACATAACATATTATGACAGGTTTGGAAGCAGGAGTGGCATCCACTTCCTAAACAACATGCCTTCAGAAACTTTGATAAATGTCAATAGTTGCAGAGGGCCTTCAGGCCTTTTGTTCATAGGATTTCTATGAGTCGTGCTCAACTTGAAGGCAATCAACATCTTCCTAATAATAACTGACAGGTAGGAAATTAAAGCAATTAAGTTAGCTCACTCAAGGTCACTGTCAGCAAACAGCTGAGCTGGGCTCTGGGCCTAGTTGGCTGGCTCCACAGTACGTGCCCTAATTTCCCTTTCTATAGGCAACAATGGACCCCAAAGCTTGTACATTGAGCTAAATCACACAATCCTCTCCTGTAATCTCATAAACTTCTACTGGGATGCAGTCATGCCTACATATTTTTCTGTCTTCAGGCAACTACAGCAGAATAGAGTGGTCATAGCAGAAATCAGAGAGCTAGTTAAGCTGTAGCAGTCACTGTCTGGCTCTTTACAGAAAATGTTTGCCAGCTGCGGTCCGGAGTGATGAAGGAACTCGTTCAAAGTCAAAGAATTAGAAAGGGTTCCAGACTATGTCTCAACCCACAGGTGTATCAAGGGGTCAAGTTGACTTAAGAAAGTTCTAGAACATTCAAACTGCCAACACTGGGTCGTTTTCAATCCCTTTTCTGTCTCTCAATAAATTGGGAAAAGTTGTCTCCTCTTAAACCTGTGGCAATTTTTCCCAGCTCTGCAGCAGCAAAGACAGAATTTAGTAAACTTAGTTTTCACACATCTGACAGTTCTTCTCAAGGAGAAGTGACTGGACCCTTCAGGGACACCTGTCCACACCTGTGGATATTTTTGGCTGTCACAGCTTGGGGAGGAACTTTTACTGGCATCAAGAAGGCAGTGGCCAGGGGCCAGGGATGCTGCCAAACATCCCACAGTGTATAGGGCAGACCCTGAAACAAAGACTCTCCTTGTTGTTAGGTGCCGTTGAATCGCCTGTGACTTACAGCAACCCTGTATACAACAGCCCTAAACCCTGATCTGTCCTGTGCCAATCTCACTGTCTCCAACACACCTACCCCCATTACCCCAGTAACTGAGTCAATCCATCTCATAGAGGGTCTTCCTCTCCTGTGCTGTCCCTCCACCCTCCCAAGCATGATGTCCCTCTCCCAGGGCTGGTCCTTCCCTGAAACATGTTCCAAAGTATGTCAGATGAAGCTTCAGAATCCTTGCCTCCAAGGAGCAGCCCAGTTTAATCCTCTCTAGGATGAATCTGTTCATTTTCTTAGCAGTCCATGGTATATTCAATACTCTTCTCCAACATCACAGCTCAAAGGCATCAACAATCCCTAGTCATTGTCCAGCTCTCTGAGGCATACCAAGGGATTGCAAAGACCATGGCCCATAGCAGGCGCACCTTAGTCTCCAGACTGACATGACTGCTCTTCAGTACTTAGGAGAGACCTTAAAAGCATACTTTCCCATTGCCAGTATGTCTTTTAATTTCCTGGCTGCTGGTGCCAAGAGTGGTGGTTATGGAGCCAAGCAAACTAAAGACTCTTGTTGTTGTTATGTGCTGTTGAGTTGTTTGCGACTCATAGCGACCCTATGTACAACAGCTCTAAACTCTGCTCTGTCCTGTGCCAGTCTCATTGTCTCTGACACACTCATCCCGATTGCCCCAGTCACCGAACCAATCCATCTCCCAGAGGGCCTTCCCCTCCTGCACCTGCCCTCCACCCTCCCAAGCATGATGTCCCTCTCCAAGGACCGGTCCCTCCTTACAACATGACCAAAGTATGTCAGACGAAGCCTAAGAATCCTTGCCTCCAAGGAACAGCCCGGTTTAACCCTCTCCAGGAGGAATCTGTTTTCTTAGCAGTCCATGGCACTCTCAGCACTCTCCAACACCAAAGCTCAAAAGCATCAATTCTCCTTCTATCTTCCCTGGTCATTGTCCAGCTCTCTGACGCATAACAAGTGATTGCAAAGACCATGGTCTGTACCAGATGCACCTTAGTCTCCAGAGACACATCGTTGCTCTTGAGTACTTTAGAGAGGTCCGTAACAGCAGACTTTCCCATCACAATATGTCTTTTAATTTCCTGGCTGCTGGTACTAAAGTAAAAATCAAACAAACAAAAAAACCCAAACAAACCCTGCCCACTTGCCATTAATTCTGCCCATGGCAACCTTTAGTGCAGAGCAGAACTATCCATTGGGTTCTGGCTGTAATCTACATAGAAGCCAACTGCCCCCATGGAGCTAGTGGGTACAAACTGCAGACCTGGGGCTGTTCAATGCTGTTAACTGCACTGACCTGCCTCTAGACAACCCGCCAGCAGGTTTCTCAGAGGCTGTAATCACAGGGAGAGCTCAGATTGCTCATCTTTCTCTCATGGGGCTGCTGGTGGATTTGAACCACTTGCCTTTGGGTTGGCAACACAACTCCTTACTAGGCCACCAGAGCTACCTCTGGGCTAGCACCTTCAAATGCTTTAGCTACCACACCACCAGGGCTCTGCAGTGTCCTGGATCCCAGATGCCTTTTATTTATGAGCAACTCTGGTCTTCCAAACCCTGAAGGTGCAAAGCTTCCCTCTTAAATAAATGTATCTGGGGAGTCTTTTTCTGAGAAGCCGGTCAATACTAAGGTAAAAATTAAGCCAGCACTAAGAGAGGAGGTATCCAGGTAAGGCTTGGAGAAATAAATAACAGTGGCATGCCGACAAAGTGTGACATGCGCTGTCTTACCCAGCCTCCCTGAGGGCGAGATGGTCGAGGATCCACAGCCCCTTCACGTCCTGCAGGGTCAGAGCACAAGTGACCCTAACACGAAGTGAGGGCTTCCCCTTTAGTCTTAACTTTACAAAAGAAGGAAAGTCAGAGTCGTGAATAGGACATTTCACTCCCGAAGGCAGCGTGGGTTTTAACACTGACCTGTAGCGACAGCCGGGCTCCGTGAGGCTGTGTTCCTCTGGGCCTGTCCCGTTTTCCAGGCTTCCAACCGGGGCATCTGAGGCACAGAAAGCCAGCACAGAGTCAGGAGGGTTTAGTCTACTTCCTCCACAAGACAAGGACACAGTTCAGACATTGACTCATCTGCCAAATCAGTTGACTTCAATTTTCCTGCATTCGTCCCCTGGATGTGGATCTGATACACCCTCTGCAATTTTTCAGCCATCTTCTCAGATTTGGCATCAGCCACCGACATAAGGCTCTAAATTCCCTCTTAAACTTCAACCTTTCTGACCTTGAGGCCTCTCAGGAACTAGAATCACAGACCAAGTCCACATTCAGGCCAATCTCAGCATCAGGGAAATTAAGACTTGTGTGCTTTCTGCTAGACCCAACCAGTCCTGCCTGTAGTGGCTTGATTCAGACGCTAGAGGGCAGCACGGTCTAAGGCCTGACTGTCAAAGCCAAGTCACTCCTGCTTTCTAAAAGCCCCTAGCCCTGAATTAAGCCACGTTTGGGAAAGGCATTCGAAAGGAGTGAGGTTATAAATTATCTCTAAAACCAACAGGCTAGGGGCATTAACGATGTTCACGAAGGTATTAGCTGCTGCTGAGATCTCCCTCTAGGAAAAAGCACAAATCCCTGAGTTATAGGTGGGACAGTGACACTAAGTCCAAAGATACTCAGTAGAATATGTGCTATTTCAAGACACTGCTCGTTTGTCAAAGCCACCACAGAACCAGCCCTGAATCGAGAGAGGCTCAAGCAACATGTCTCGCTGGTCCCCGGCTCCTTCTGCCCTGCACACCCTCTGCCCCAGCTCCTCTGTCCACCCCTCAGTCTGTCTTCAACATCCTCCAACCCCAAAGTAGAAGTGCACGTTTTGACCTTTGCTTCCACCCAGCTGCCCCCGCCAAGCTGTTCCGCTTACCCAGGGCTCTTCCAAGAACCTAGAAGGCGGCAGTTAACAGTGTCTGCGTGCGCCTTCTTCCCTTGTTGCCTAGTATTATATAGGTCATTCAAGGGCATGGGCCTGTCTGTAGGTTCAAGTCCCCTCTCTCCCCCTTTAATTCAGCCAGTTACTAGCCTCTTTGTGCCTCAGTTTCCTCAACTACAAAATGAGATAGTTGTAGTCTTTACAATTCACTACTTCAGTAAAGCTTGGCACGTAACTAAATTTTGCATTTTAATACATGTAAAACTCAATGTTCACAGAGTTGCTGCTTTACGTCGTAGAGGACTGAATAGCCCGTAGTTACAACAAAAACTCAATGAATAGTGCTTACTGTCAACTTGATCTACTGCTGATCCTGGCTCCCAGAGCCACTCTGCTTCCAGAAATTGATCTCCAAGCACCCCAAGGAACCCTTCTCCGACTCCCTCTCACTTTCCTAATGCTACATCCAGGGTGGACATGGCCTCCTTGGGCTTAGCCCTCTCAGCCTTCCTGACCCTGTTCTTTGGTCCTCTGTCCCCCACACCTTTCTCTCTGGTCCCTAAGGGTCAGTGTCACTGGGTCCCTCTCCTCCTTGGCAAAGGCACAGCTCTAGTCCTCACCACTCTGACGACCCTCAAACTCTCACCTCTGGCTGTGATCTCTGCCTGAAGCCTCGTCCCAGCTTTCTAACCACCTGTCCTGAAGCTGCACCAGGGTATCAGACCAAGCCCACCAACTGATCATGACCTGCCAAACTGTCACTCTTCTGTCACCTTTTCCTGATGGGCTATCACCTCAGAATAGTGACACACACACACAGGCGGTCCCTGAGTCCCGTCAGCGTCTCTGACAGGAGGCACCATAATGCTCCTCACACTCGTCCTGTGCCCACTTCCATCCTGGGTCCAAGATGCAATGCGCTCTAAGGAGGCTTGGTGGCAGCCTCAGTTCCATCTCTCCTGCTGCCTCCATCCCCGGCTCCTCTCGCCCCCCCACAGTGTAACTCACAAGGCTGCCAGGCTGCCAGACTCCACGTGGGAGCAACAGGGACGCCACACCACACCACAGGGGAGAAGCCCACATCATCTGCTGGGCTCTCAGGTTGCTGTACCCACTCAGTCCAGACGTACTTCCCACCAAGGGAAAGACAAAACATCTAAGGCTCAGACACCTCAGTGCCACGGGAAGCAAACAGCTGGCTGCATGGACCTTACAGGCCAGCACAATGAGAGAATGAGAGCAGGCAAGGAGCCTGGATTGTGAGATGGAGGCTGTGAATAAAGATTCAAACTTCTCCAGTGTTACAAACATCATTTCCCATCTCCTGGTCTCTTCAGCCCCCACCCCTCTCCCAAATCCTCCCGTGTCCACGCGGCTGCTGAATGGCCAATGGCAAGGTGCCGATGGCCCCAGTTTCTCGGCCCCAGGATGATCAGCTGAGTCAAAAAATGCTCCCAGGACTTCTGTGGCCTGGCCCGAAGACACAAGCTTGCCTGTCAAGCATTCCCTTCCCTGGAGATTTCTGCAGAAGCCAGCCAGTAAGGGGGTTTTGGGGCAGAGACCATGAACAGGCCGAAGTAGGGAGATAAGAATGATGAGAACGCAAGCAGATGGGGGCTGAGTCCCACAAGAAAGTACAGGGAAGAGGGGTGTAAACAATGGCAGGAGCTTCCCCTAAACTCCAGTCTGAGCTCCCAGTTCTCAGGCCTGTAGACACCCACACCTGCCTTATCACTACAAACGTCTAGAGAAAGCTTTCACGGTGCTGTGTATGGACCCGGCCCTCTTCCCAGGTCACCTCATGGAAACCTCACTGCACCCGAGAGGAAAGGCTGGAATAGCCACCCCTTCTTAAGACTCTATGGTGAAGGGTCCTATGTCATCAATCTTATTATCACCCCACTTTCTGGATGAGGAGGCTGATAGGCAGAGAAAGGAACTTAGCCACGTTGCCCAACCTGATTCACTTTACAGCAGGGAACAGCGTCACAGGGCAGTGATCGCCTGAAGCTCAGATCACTTCCTAGGGACGGAAGCTCAGCCCATTCTGTCATGCTGCCAGCCAACGTCCCCACGCGACCTCTGCGTTGAGCTACGTGGAGGGGTTTTCTGTTCCCGGCCTCCTGATGAGAACAACAGCCTCGCACTCCACTCGGGCTTTCAACAGCTTCCTGCTCACTCGGGTGGGTCCCACTCACAACTTCTTAAATCTGGCCCCAAAGACGGAAAACAAGAAGAGGGTGGGACAAACAAGAAGGGAGCCAAGTGAGGATGGCCAGGGGTGCTGTGGGGGGCACTGAGTGGGGACTGAGCACATCTCTGAGTCAGCTGGACTGCACACCCATCCACAGGGCCGGCAGGGACATCCACGTTCCCGTGACCTGGCTAAGGAACCATGAGCACAGCTGAAGTGAATGGCAGAGAGAGGCTGACCCGGAACTAAACTCAAACTCTTCTCCCAGCCATCGAATCAAGTTCCAAGTGAGTGGCCCCCATCAGATTCCCGAGCCTTTAAATCTTGGTGGGAAGAGATTGCCCGTCTTTCTCCCTCAGAGACAATGGTGAACGTGAACCACCGAGACATGCAAATTCTTGGTTAACAACACAACACACTGGTAACCACATTACCACAGTGCCTACGTAGTTCTGAAAAGAAGTCAGGGCCTTTGTAGGTATGAACTCAGGCTAAGGGAGTTGGAGGATCTCCCTTCAAAGAGGCAAAAATAATGGCACTACAACCCTGCTTGCTGAGAGTGAGGAGGACCTGAAGTGCCTGCTGCAGATGGTCAAAGACTGCAGCCTTAAATATGGATTGAAGCTCAACATTAAGAAAACAAAGATTCTCACTACTGGGCCAATTGGCAGCACCATGATAGATGGTAGAGAGATCAAGATTGTTAACAATTTTAGTTTGCTTGGCTCCACAATCAGCACTCTTGGTACCAGCAGCCAGGGAATTAAAAGATGAATTGCAGTGGGAAAGTCTGCTGTCAGAGACCTCTCCAAAGTACTGAAGAGCAGTGATGTTATTCTGGAGACTAAGAGCACCTGATACAGGCCATGATCTTTGCAATTACTTGCTATACATCACAAAGCTGGACAGTGACTAGGGAGGGATGACAGAAGGAGAACTGATGCCTTTGAGGTATGGTGCTGGAGAAGAGTATTGAGTATATCATAGACTGCTAGGAGAAGAAGTTTGTCCTGGAGAGGATGAAGCCAGGCTGCTCCTTGGAGGCAAGCATCCTAAAGTTTCCTCTGACATACTTCAGGCATGCTGCAAGAAGGGACCAGTCCTTGAAGAGGGCTTTGTCTGACATACTTTGGATATATTGCAAGGAGGGAGCAGACCTTGGAGAGGGACATCATGCTTGGGAGGGTGGAGGGACAGTGCAGGAGAGGAAGGCCCTCTATGAGATGGATTGATTCAGTGACTTGGGTAATGGAGGTAGGTGTGTCAGAGACAAAATTGGCACAGGATAGAGCAGGATTTAGGACTGTTGTACATAGCGTCATTATGAGTCTCAGGGAACTTGAGGGCGTGTAACAACAACTAATACTGTGCGACCAAGGTCAGGAAATCACTGGGTAGAAGACACACAGGCCTGGGGCTCCCCAGTGATGTGGACACAGGCTCAGCCCAGCAGAAGTACAGCGGAGAGCCGCTTGGCAAACTGAGCTTCAGCAGGGACAAGCACTAACCCCCTCACCTGCATCCCTCGTGCCCTTCCTCCCTGGAGGGGACACCTGTGGATTCTCATATTCATATTCTCTTTAAAAAAAACAAACAAGACACAAATTCTTTCATATGAGTGAGGGTTTCTCACACTTTGCTTTATAACATTTATTGTCACTGATTAATATCTATAATATAAATAATACCCATATTCAATATTATTGTCTTGCCTTTCACCCACCGCTTTTACTCATTTTCACTCCCCTCTCACTCCCTTCGCACCGCCGTTATCCTTCCAATAATCTCATACGGTTGATTTTTTTATATATGACAAGTGTGCCTTAGCTGTTCACAATGGTGGTCTCATCTCCTAATTGTTGTTGGGTGACTGGTTTGTGTCCATCAGAATCACTGGTTCTAGATTCTTCCCTGCTGGGCAGTATTTCATGTATTCCTTATCACTTTCTAGTGATGTGTAATACTCCTTTGTGTGCAGGTATCGGGGTGTTTCAGCCATTTGTCAGATTTGTTTTCCTTGGAGGAAAACAGCAGTGAGTGAGGGGACACCTACCTTCAGGGCCAAAGGTGCCCACGCCTCCGACGCTGACTGGGAAGAGGACTTCGGCGTCCCCGTGCAGCACCTGCAGCGGGGCCCAGCTGTGCACCGGGGACAGGCAGGTGTCGCCATCCAGAGGCCTGCGGGGAGAGAGCACAGCTGTGTGTTAGGGCAAGGAGCCCAAGGGTTCATGGTCACTGCGAGGCCCCCAGCCTCCCACGGCTCCTCCCAGGAGCTATGAGGCCTGGGGGAGGCTCTGAACAGACGGGCCCAGGGTGGGGTGTCAGGACCACAGGGTCAGAATGCAGACTCCACATGCTGGGTCTCTCACCTGAGACTGCTGTGCCCACTACCTGGGGGGAAAGGGGGAGCAGTCTTCATCCTAATCTCGGGGAGTTGACAGGCTGCTGGGGACATGAGTGTGATGCAAGCAGCCATCCAAGAAGGTGACTACTCCAGAGCACGAGGAAAGCTGCGTGAGCAGGAGAGTGAACAACAGGCCACACCGAGTCCGTCAGGAGAGCTGAAGGCCTTCCCAGAGGAAGTGGCAGGTGGGCAGAGAGCAGGGTTGAGTGGCTAAGAGGAGGAGCAAGAGGGTGGAGGGGTGAGGTGGGGAGAGGATGAAAGGGAGCCAGCTACCTCCCAGAATGGCATGCAGAGTTTGAGGTGAAGCTCCACCAACAGACTGAGCTTCTTACTAGATTAAAAGGGGCCCCCCAAGTGTCATTGCCTTCAAACCGAGTGACATCAAAGTGAATCCTGGAGCAGAGATAGATTCATAAGATGGTGCCACAGTTGGCTTAAAAATAGAATAAAAGGAAATTTTCACTAGGAAAGTAGAACATAACTTTAAAAAAAATTCTAAAAATATTCTCAAAAAATATATATAAAGACACACAAAATTCAAAATACAACTAGGTTGATATCTTAGTCTTGTGCCTTAGTATCCTTTCTATCCATACTTTGTTGCTGTTGTTGTGTGCTGTTGAATCGCCTGCCACACAAAGCAACCCTATGTACAACAGCCCTAAACCCTGCCCTATCCTGTGTTAATCTTACTGTCTCTGACACGCCTATCCCAACTTTGCGTTGCATAAATTAAACGTATAATGTTTCTCTTTCATCCAGCCTTCACTTATAAGCTCATCTTCGTGCTGAGAAGTTTCCTTAAATAAAATCCAAGATGCTTAAGATCAGAAATGTTAAGATTTAAGCTCTCCTGTTGTTAACCAGTGGTGGCTCTCATAGCTCAGTGGGTAAGGATTTTCACTGTCAACCCAAAGGCAGGTGGTTTGAAACCACCTGCTGTTCCAAGGGAGAAAGATGGGCAATCTCCTCCCGTACAAAGTGCAGCCTCTGAAAATCTCAGAGGGTCAGCCGTAAATTAGTTCCAACACAACAGCCATTTCATCATTTTGTTGTTGTTAACTAGTCTCCTTTGTGTGTACATTTACACTGGTCACAGAGCTTTGCTTTTCTAAGTAGAGACTATGGTCCTAGATACGTCTCCTTTTTTCTTAGTAGAGAATATGTCCTCAAGGTCAATTTCTAGAAATAGAGTTGCTAAATCAGCTAGTAAAATATTTTTTTT